TGATTAATGCTCAAATCTTATCCGCGCGAGAATAGGCCTTTGGTCAGCGGTGGCCACTTATAGGCTGATGATGATGAAGAATCCTTACTTATCGTTGTACATTTGGCGACACATGACACAAATGACAGATCACAAAAGTCGCACAGAAAGTGATCCAATGACCTCTCCAGCCCGGGTGAGGCTAGAGGGAGTGTCAGAGTCTTACTGACTAAAAACCACCCCGTTCCTACTCCTGCACTTTGAGCCGGAGCCCCGGCAACCCGTTAAGTCTTCCGCGGCTCCGTATCGGCATCAGCCCTGTTAGGCCCCATCTGTGGTGGTCTGATGGCTCCTTGAGGCGCGCGCGGCACATAGACGTTTGGCGAGTAAATCGACAGAGACACAAAGCCTACATCGCACATGTGAAGTTTATATGTGAATTAACGTGGATAGAAAATCTCAACGAACAACTGTTGGGTAGAGAGCCCGTCAGGCAGGAACACCTCACCTGGTCGGCGGATCCTCCTTTTCTTTTAAGGTACTTTACTGTTACTTTCTGTTCCCTAAATACACCATGCATATCCGAGAACACATAACACTCAATAATTTCAATACCTATATCTTATATACATTCCCAAGACACCGATGGCTTGCCTTTCATCATAACACAATTTCATTCGCTTTTACCAGCACCTCGGTTAATGCATTTATCCTTGAGCACGGCCCACTTAAGGTTCTGACGTCCCTTGGATCTCTAATTGTGTTACTTGGTTCCGTATTAAAAGCTTTCTTATGTTGTCTAAGTAATTGTCCCATATTCTGACTTGTTTTAAGTATAGGATTAGTAATTGGTGCTAAGAGACGTGGTTTTGCTTTTTAATGGTCCTTTTTGTTATATAATAACTATCGTGAAACATACAAAATTAATGCCGAGTGCGACTGCTGGGCAAGGTCTTGGGTTCCATTCCCGGGCAAAGCATTACTGTTTTTTTTTTAAATCTCAGTAGTAGCACGGAGTCTGGAATTGTGCCCGGTATATGGCAATAGGAACCTAAATGCCTTATACCCTTTATTAAATGGGACTCATTAGAGAAATAGTGAAAATTGGGTGTTACATTATACAGTGGCATTAAGTGATATGAACCTCTGCCAACCCTTCGGGGAAAAAAAGTGTGATGTTATGTTATGTTACTTATAACACACAAACAAGTATTCAATTGGAAAGCTAATAAATAATAAGACCCATGATCAAACCATGATGCTGATATACAACGTATATCATCACACGCCATAGTCTTTCACCGTGTTAATTAAATTAATTAGTCGACCACAGCGATGTTACGGAACACCTGCGGTTGACACGTGCTTTAGAGCATAATACAGATTGTGTTACAGTAGGACAGGACCACACTCCTACGATGCTATTGTAGACTCAGCTTTATGTTTAACTGATGAAAGTTGCTTTTAGATTGTGCTTGGAAAGCCAAGCTGCAACTTTTGATTTGAAGTGAATCAATAATGTGCTTAAGCTCACTTTCTCATTTTGTTATATAGTTGCAATTTACTTTGGACGTAATGTTCCCTCAAATTTTGACTCGCATACATAATTGGTTAGCATTTACTTTGGGCTAAATGGGTCCTATAATTTAGGCATATTAAAATCGTTAAATAAGTTTCTTCGAATACATTTTGTTGTAGAAATCATGAGATTCTCGCCCCTTCTAATGTCGTAAATTATGATGTCTATCTACATAATTTATCACTACTACTAGACGTGGTCATTAATATTCAAATTATTATACGAAACTAAAGCACTAGACCCTATTTTATTCTTCTTTCGCTTCTCTCATTCAAATATACCCTTTGACCTAAATTAATGGGAATAATTCACAAACAAAACGTAATTAAACATTCTATTTCAAACCTTAAACCTCTTTATTTAAAATCTAAATCGTCCATAGCGTTTTCATCTCAATAAGTAATTGTGCCGTTTGGGACTGACTATTAATTATACGCGCGGTCGTTAGTCGAGTGATTTACATTAGTCTCACGTTTAGACCCATTTGTTTTAGCTTTACAACTTAATCTGCCTAATTTGAAATATTGGAGGACGATTCTATTAGATTTTGTTTTGAAATAATAAAAATTAGGATTCATTTAGTAGCTACATGTTTCGCGCAAAACTGCTAATGAATCAGATCCTGGCTGTGACTGACGCACCTGTGACTCCTCTGGTGTTGTGTGTATCCATGGGCGGCGCTGATCGCTTACCATCAGGTGATCCGTCTGCCCGTTTGCCTCCAATTCCATAAAAAACAAAAAAATTAAAAGCCCCAGCGTGACTTGAAACTAGTCGGAGTTCTTCGTTAAACAGTTGCTTGAAGTAAAGCTGAAAACATAACGTAGGATCCATTGCCTCATAATTGATCCACCATCACAGTTTTATCGATATTAACTTACCATGTATTTGGAGATACAGAAAGTCTATTACAGTGTTGCACCACAACGTTTCCAATTTCGATTCCCAATACATAACTTGAATAAGATACATGTATACTAGAAATTCAATGTATATGTCAGTTATTGGAAACCGATCCAACTCTCTAGGGTTCTCAAATATACCGGGAGCGTCGATTGCAAATTGGACGTCTCACTCCAATTTGTCATGTACAAGTGCTCTAGTGAGGGAGAAATCGCAGGACGTCCCGTGTCCCGTGTCCCGCCAATTCCCGGCCTCTTGATAAAGTTAAGAGTATGTGGGTCAGACACGGATAAATTGCTCACAGGAATTGGAGCGTTTGAGTTCGAAAAAATTGGTTTAGGTTAGGGTAAATGTGATTATCTTGTACTGATGCTGTAATAATTCTATTTTTCAAGTTGATATTATTTCTTTAGCATGACAAATCGTGTAGCTGCTAGTCATTCAAGTGCCTAATGGAACCAAACATGTTTTAAGGTTAATCTAGTCTTTAAGAAATCATTATTGTTAATCATCGCCTTACTGGTCGTGGCTCTCCCACACCATCCATTTTCCAACACCTCAATACTTAAATCTTTCACCAATCACCAATCAATGTTCATCATATTATCCCCACAACATTATTTCCCCACGGGCTAAAACAAAATATTGACTCACAAAATTGTGTTTATTAAACCGTACGTTCCCGGGAACAAACATCACTAGTTCAAACCGTGTTCACGATCCAATGGGATTGGTCCGCAGTCCGGACCACACAGCTCTATTTTATTTTCATTTTGCACCAACAGCCAGTGTTAATCGAGTTTCATTGCTTGCGGTCTGTGACGCAGTAATTATAAAACGACAATTTATACGATGAGATTTTTACTATTAAATTTTAATTTTCTCCTACAAAGTAGTGGACTGAAATGTATTAACTGTATAGTGGGCATTTGATAGAAAGATAGAAAAAGAAAGATATTTGTTTTCTCTTGGTTTTGTTTTTTTTTAATATTTTAGTACGTTCTGTTATTTGTATGTTGCGTCAGATTTTTTTTAAAAGAGTAACGAATGGAGTTTCTTGTTCGTTCTTCTCCACTCGAATCGACATTTTGGAACGAGCGCCTAGCTTCACTGACGGACAAACTGACAGACTATTATTTATTTCATATTTGTTGACGTTTCAAAAGTACCAAATTATGGTTTAATTGAAATAAATGCTTTTGAGTTTGAGTTTGACGCTCATTACTACGCTTAAATGTAATTTGGTTCATACATTAAACGCTAAACCTAAACTCGGTCATAATTAATTCCTATTATAAATATATACATCGATGGCCTCACTGAATTTAATAATCTAAAACCTAGTGTTCAAGTTTTACAGTTGCGTGTCTAGAATTGAACTATAGGTATTTAGGTATTGCCTATTAAGGCTATAGTGATTAAACTTCATTATAGACATACTTTCGACATATCACGAATATTCCATGGTACAGATAATTAGGGTTATTTTTGAGTCAGAAACTGATCACATGGATTATCATGGAGTAGGCTACGCGACGTCGCTCGACCGAGCACGCTGCTCATGAGGAAGTGTTGAAACTAGTAGAACTTTTCTCAGCATATTTACGTGAGAAACTCATGATTTTTAGTTAATCACATGGACTTATAGCAGTTGTCGTGTGAAGACCTAAATTAAAAACCAAGAACCATCACCGCTGAAAGTGTGTCATGACGAGGCGACAGGTCATTGACCGACTGACGGACTTGCTGCCTAGAATGTTACTAAATGTATCATTTTTGTACTCTGTCACAATATGTACAGTATGATTCTCATTTGTGTTGTTGTTTAATGGGTTTTGTTGGGATTAGAAATATGAATAAGGTATGGGTTTGTTCGATAACTCATATGGGATTAGAGGTATAAAGGGATAAAATCCACAATATAATTTTCTTCAGGTATCACAATGATAGATGAAAAGTGGAATTTGACACAGATGATAAAGAAACCAAGCAGTTTTAATTAATTTTATGCCGCAGATTACAACTGTTACCCTTTCCTTGAACTCTTTCTTAGGTAGCTGGTAATATCCGAAATAGTCATGACACAATCAAACTAAGCTGTGCAGCTATAACTGAAACCCATAACTGCTTTTAGATTCGTAACAACCAACCATTTGGCAGTACGGCCAAAATACTACAACATGTATATTGTTCAACACTATACGTGAATTGCCTATAGCACATAAATAGTAGTAGACCGATAGTATCGATACCTTGAATTTTATTATTATCTTAAGTAAATTCAGTTAAAAAATTATGCATTCTGGATTGACGGGACGAATAAGTTTGGTTATCTATTATAGTTTATTTAATTTTGAAAATTTTCTTCTTAAAATGAATCAATTGATTTGGACCATGGAGACTCCGTTTGTACCATTGTCGGACTTGACTCTGTCCAATATCAAGTCTTAGTAAAATATAGCAGAATGAATTTAGGTACTCACTCATAACCTTGATGAATAATTATAGATCTTAATTTTCTATATTTGTTTGTCCACAGAGGAAGAATGCTACCACTGCATGGCGAGCTTGGTGGCGTCCAAGGAAAAGATGTTCATCACACAAACGAAACTACTCAACGAAGTTACATGGAAGACTGTTATGCAGATCGCTAAGAAACATGCCGTAAGTTTAAATTTCAGATATTCTTTGGAATTTGTGTTAAAATCTGTATCAAATGCATACGCATTCCTCATGATTTTCATACCGTCTCCTTTTTTTCTAAGATCTGTGTCTTTAGCATACATAGTCTTGAATGATTTTTAATCAATGAGAACAGTATTAACTTAGAGACCCGTAAGATCTGTAATTTGATTCGTTCATCGTGTTGGAAGGATAGAAGATCACGAGGGATCTTTTCCTTCTTTCACACTAAGAGTCTTCTCCATCTCATTCAGCCCATTTTTGTTTCATCAGCGTGACATGTTTTTATTTTCTTTTCTCACCTATTGAACGTCATCATTTCATTCATTCTCTTTTTCTTTCAAATCAATACTCTCACAACCTATTCTTCTTATTACTCTATAGTAAGTTTCAAATACCTATATTACCTATCTTAGCAAGTTTACCATTGAAAGGGAACATAACTCCTGTCATACAGGCGTGAACGGACATGTTTTGACAAGAGTGATATGGCTGCGTCTAGCTGATAATGCTAGGAGATGACGGCCCGTGCCCGGCTGTATGGTTATGCGTATATCATGTTTAGGTATTATATTGTCTGTTGTGTTACGATCTAGATGCAATTAATGTCTGTCTATATTAAGCTTGAAGCGTAAACTCATGAACTTATCCTTTATGCTTCTATCTTCAGATTTGAGATAGTTCAATATTGCGATTGGTTCTTTAACTCGACTAGACTGCCTCGTTGGCCGAGTGGTCGCAAGTGCGACTGCCGGGCAAGGAGTCTCGGGTTCCATTCCCGGGTCGGGCAAAGTATTACTGGGTTTTTAAAAATCTCAGTAGTAGCACGGAGTCTAGAAATGTGCCCGGTATATGGCAATAGGCTCACCCCCTATTACATGGGACTCATAACATAAATAGTGAAAAATGGGTGTTACATTGTACACTGGCATCAAATGCCGAAATGTGCACCTCTGCCTACCCCTTCGGAGATAAAAAGGCGTGATGTTATGTTATGTTTTTGTTCTTTAACTCTTTGGTTTATTTGTCATAGCGCTGAGAATCTTGCACCGTATCGAAATATTTGTAGTGTATTGGAAACCAAACGCAGAATATTGCACTCGCCTGTTATTTTTTTAAATTATAGTAATACGTTTAAAGCCATTGCTTATTGTTCTAATGTGGGTATACTGACACATCCCAACCATCCCTTAACCCTTTGAATACCGTCATTATAGACACAATTAAAGAACAATAGGTTGCGGTCACCGGTGTCCTCGCGGTGTTTGACAGTTTAAATATGATATCTTTAACACAAGATTTTCTTTTCCATTTCGTAAAATGAAACGCGCATTTTCCTTTGGAACACGATAAGATAAATCGTGCTGACTATTACAAAACTATCCCTGGTCACTGGACTATTAGTCCGGTCACCCTGATCCCCGTATAATCAATGATGCGGCAATTTATCGCGTGACTAAACACCTGCCTGATCTGCTGATGTGAGAAATTGACTCTTATTATAGGTTACTAGGTACCTGCTTGTGTTTATTGAAATAATATCTGATTTGTATCGAAACGAATATTCAGGACAATATGGGCTGACATATTGAAAGACTTCTTTCCGTTTTTCCACTGAGATAAACCGATTTCTAAGCTCAGGGTACCATTCAGAATATATATACGAATAGATAAACTTACCTTTATCCTATGGGAAAGAGCAAAATCTATACGGATCTTACGTAGGTACTTTTTTAGCTTCGATCACAGTCATACGAAAAATCGTATGCTCTGAACCAAGCATCCAATTTGTGTCTCTTATTTGAACAGTCAATCAAAAAACGCCCAAAACAAGAAGAGACAATTTAAAAGTTCAATTCCAATTTTTTTTTTTTTTTGATGGGCTGCCGTTTGACCACTATTTCGCCTAGTGGTAAGCGATGATGCGGTCTACGATGGAGCACGTCGTCCCATAAGTAACCTATTCACTCGGGCCTTGAAGACACCCAGGTTAATTAATAAATAATTAGTGATTGAAAATCCAAATAAGTTTTCCCTTAGCTTATCCTATGTTCTTTAAATTAAACATTAATCAATTTACTGTATAATTTAAAGTTAATAACTACATATTAATTAATTCAATTAGCTACGTATATCCACGATAATGCAGGGCGTTACTCCTTGCACACCTTGTTAATATAACCAAGCTGCTGTTGACACATTAAGATTGAGTATCTTGACCTACACGTTCAGTTTATTGATTTATTATTACGTATTGCATAATATTATGTAATCAGGTTGTTTGTGTACATAAAATATTGTTTTTCTTTGGTAAACTTGGTAAAGTTGAAACCGTTTCATTTTATAAATAACTAGCTTCTGCCCGCGACTTCGTACGCGTAATCCCATTTTTCCCGTCCCCGTTCGTGATTTTCGGTAAAAAGTAAAAAAAAAAAATTTTGTTTAAAAAGTATCCTATGTCGGTCTCCTGGCTCTAAGCTACCTCCCTACCAATTTTCAGTCAAATCTATTCTGCCATTCTTGAGTTGTAAGTGGTGTAACTAACACGACTTTCTTTTATATATATAGATTTTGTCCTGTGTCGTGGCGTGGGTGTGTTTACAAACATACTCATCATATAAAAACTCAAAACATAACTTTTGGATTAAACAAAAAGTTGTTCCTTCCGAGATTAGAACCCGCGGTACTGTTGGTAGCAACCGGTGACCCAGCCATTTTTTATTTTAAACTTTGCCCCACACTCCGAATTTTCCTGTGTCGTGGCTGCGTTTACAAAAATACAAGTTCACATGCATATGACACCTACACCCGAAACAACAATCTATGGGTCACGCGACACCTTGCGCGGCAACTAAGTAGTTGGTCAGCCACCGCGCCTACCGTGCAGACCAAAATCTGAATTACACCAAGAATTATTTGCGAGAATAGAACCTGCGGTACGGTTGGCAGCAGCCGGTGACCCAGCCATTGCGCCTCCCCGAAACAAATACGGTAATATGGTGTGAATAGGGTTTGAGCGGCGAAAAGGGACAAAAGAGGGGTGAATCGATACTATAAAGAATTTCCTTATATCTATTCACCCCTCTTCTGTTCCTATTCATATCTCGATCCCTATTCGCCCCATTTTACGGTACTTGTAGTTCTAATTCAGTCTACCATTACCTCCACCTGCCTGAATAATTTTTAATTTAAACTTTTTTAATAAAATTAATAAAAATCTGTAAAAATTTTATTTAAATATCGCCTGAGGGCGTTGCGTGCCCGTTTCGTTCGGCCACAACTACAATCAAGTTAACGAATCAAACTTTTAAATGGTTGCTTGGGGCCTTTACATAGTTTAAGTAACTGCGTAGTTAGGGAGGAATAATGTACATTGTTTACAAAAATAAATAAGGAAACTAATAAAGTTACTTAAAGTGCCTTAAGTATAAAGATAATATAGCTACTGCAGGCTTTTTGACATATTGTTAGTACTGAAATAGCTACGGGGATATGCCTACTGCAGATGTATTTAATGTCGATATTATTATCTCCAAAATATTGTAAATATTTGTTACGATTTTTTTTCTGCCTGACCTTTTTCTGTTTGCCTCGGAAGCCGAGTAGTCGCAAGTGTGACTACTGGGCAAGGGGTCTCGGGTTCGATGCACGGGTCGGGCAAAGCATTACAGGGGTTTTAAAAATTCTCAATAGTAGCTATAAGCTGATCCCTTATTAGTGAAAAGTGGGTTTTACATTGTATAGTAGCATTAAGTGCCGTTTTGTGCACCTCTGCCTACCCCTTCGGGGATAAAAAGTATGATGTTCTGATATGCTTTTTTACTTTACTGCTTACAGAAGCCTTAGCTAAAGCTGTAAAGCATTAAGTTATTAACAAACTGGTGAAAGTATCAACACCAATTTATTATGAGATCCTCTAATTTGAGTACCATTTATGTACATTGTTGTACTTGCATATACAGCATACCCCATTGAACAAATAAGTACCTACCACGCAAATATAAACTTAAATTCCTTACTAAGCTTTAGATATTTTGGTTCTTCAAGAAGACAGTGAATAGGTTTTTTAAGGGTCGGCAAGACGCATGTAATGCCCCAAGTGTTGCAGGCGTACATAGGCCACGGTAACCGCTTACCATCAGGTGGGCCGTGTGCTTTTTTGCCACCGTCGTGGTATAAAAAAAAATATCATTATATCCACAGGTCAACAAAACACAATCGTACCTACAAATTTACAACCCCTTACAAAAACACCATTGCGTGACAACTTCAGAAGTGGTGCTATCGACTAAAACCACCACGGCACTAGGACACGCAACTAAGGGTTCCTCAAGTTATTCCCTTTGTTTAAACATGTTAATACTAGCTTCTGCCCGCGACTTCGTACGCGTAATCCCATTTTTTCCCGTCCTCGTTCGTGATTTTCGGTAAAAAGTAAAAAAAAAGTATTGGTTAAAAAGTATCATATGTCGGTCTCCTGGCTCTAAGCTACCTCCCTACCAATTTTCAGCCAAATCTATTCTGCCGTTCTTGAGTTATAAGTGGTGTAACTAACACGACTTTCTTTTATATATATAGATTATGGCATGGCGACATAAGTTCTATGTAATAAACCCCTATAAGTATTTTGATGCAAATTTTAAGTGTAAAAGAGCCATGCTTCGACTCGAATGGGCCGGCTCGACCGGAGTGATACCACGGACTTACAGAACACCGACGTGAAGCGACACTTGCGTTGTTTCGTTGTCTGAGTGCGCGCGTGTACCTGTCCGTGGCAAACCCTCCTTTTGTAGGAGAAGCCGGTAATCAGTAGCAGGCACTGGCCGGCAGGATACTGACGGACTGTGATGTATTTATGACTGACCAAACAGCAAATAGCAATTGTGTATGTTGTCTAATTGATTTATGATTCTTAAATGACTACACCAACTCTTTTATTTAGCAAATGCTCATAAATCCTCATATTTGGTTTTTCCCTAAAAGAATATGAAGTGATAAACCAACGGTACTTGGGTTTTTTTTGGGTATGATATGTTATTACTTATTAGATGCTCTGTGATTTAAGATATGCCTATCGCCAAATATATACCATAGATCCGGACGTGGTGTAGTTACTAAAAACCCAAGATTTCTTATCTGGATCCGAGGATCACCCTCAAGTATCCAATGGACTTACACTAAAATACTTGTACCAAACTCGTCTTAGATAAGTTTCTCTATTGGGGACCTCCTACTCGCCTTCTCTAGAAGCTCCAAAACCTCGTTGAATATAGAAGTAGTTTCTACTTCAGAATTGTCAGCACAGGTCAAGAGTAGTGTTCCTATGTCAAAAGCCATCCTCTAAAACGCGGTCACCTACAGCTGACAAACGCGAAAACTTACTTCAAAGAGAATAATTTAAATCGAGTCCGTTGATTGCTTCTGAATTTCAGCTAAAAGAGGGACCAATCTTCCTTTCTAACCAGATCAATCAAAAAGTTAAAAAGCTTACACGCGATTTTATATTTCGTAGGGATTCAATAAAATCAATGTTTATGTGAGTTATAATTATTTTTATGACAATTCTCAAGTTTTGATAACCCATATAAAAATAAATTAATCGCATCAATAAAGAACTCGACTAATACAAAATTAAAACGTACCAACACGACTCGCTAAACGACTTTATTATGTAATCGAACAATTATCGCGTCTATTTCGCGCATCACGTGTGATCAAACCGAGACGTGATCTAACAATAAACTATCGATAACGATATCACGAGCCACACCACTATTTATCGACTATGAATAATAAACATTGGGGGCAACGACCATCGAGGGAAAAATCGATCGTTCACTTGAACTTTAATCGATTTATTTCGATAAACGTAAATGTTAATAAGTCGATATTTGTGTCAGTGGTTGCATCAGGGTTCTGACTTCTGACTCATTAGCCATAAATAGGTTGTGTGTTGTCATTGAGTGCGATCAACCCTATAGGTAAGGCAAGTTTTCTTCATGCAACCAAATAAGGAGGTGCAACTTATCGATTTCCATATTTGTTTATCGATAACGAAACTGATATGCTATTGTATAAAATATAAATAAAGAAACTCAAATCATATTTTACTTTGATATTAAGATATAATATATTAAGGGCGGAGGAAATTGGAACGTATATACATTTTCCACGAGGCGCTCAGCGTGGAAAATCCGCCGGGATTATTATTAAATTATCCTTTGTGCGTTAAATATGATTAGGATTACTGTAACAATAACCAATGGCGATAATATTTATCATATTATCCTCGTTTCTATCTTATTATTTCATAATAATGTAGCTACACTTTCTTTAATGGAATTATGCCCAATTTCTCTCTACATTTTCTTTTGTAAATAGTACTTATAAGGCTGTAACATACGTGTGAATTTAAATTCATCTGGATCGGGCTTATTTTGTCATGTTAACTTGACAAGACAATCCTTTTGTCTGTTTTTAAACAAATGGACACATGTTGTGTCAGTCATTCTACTGAAGTCTTTGTTTTCTTCTTCTAGCATCACTCTCATATCATCCAACTCCATACATCCTTTACTCCATTCCTATCATCTTCCTTAAAATACAGTTTCCGTACAGTGTTTGTGATTGTTTGCAGAAGTCGGCGGCGCAGCACCTGTCGCGGCTGTCTGGCGCGATCGGTCCTGAACGGATCTACGCTGACTGGCAATGGTGGATCCTCGCCGCGCTGCCCTTCCCCCACCTCGTGAGGGTGCTCGACTGCTTCTTCCATGAGGGGATCAAGGTGAGGATATGACCTTCAAGTGCTCAAGAAAAGCGCGTAGGTCGTACTTATTTTTATAAGACGGTACGGACGAACGATTTTCGGTGTCCACGGGTGGCGCTGTCCATCTTTCAACTCGTTTTCCTAAATCCAAAATATTTAAATTTAGGTTTTAGCTCAGTATTATTCTGTTATTCTTTGTAATAACACAGAGTCTGAAATATAATTCGAAAAATGTAATTAAAGGAAAAGACATACGAAAGTTTAAACGTTGTTCGTGTAGCAATACGCTTATTATGTGTTAATTTTCTGCTACCATTTTCCTGAGGAAACAGGCGCAATGTTCCATCCCATCCGTGTAATAGAAAGTCTCAACAGAAAATAAACTCACCAAGGAAGAAACTCCAGTATAATTTTAATAAGATTCCTGCTAACAGACGTATCCTTCCGTAAACGTTTCAAGTAATTAAAATAGTATAATTAAATTTATTTCTACGTGAGTACATTTAAATCTAAGAGGGATTTTAATAAAGCATTTCTTCTGTAATCGCTTATTTCTAATTCGCTGAACTGAAAATGGTTTCGCCAAAGAGCAATTTGAAACGAAGCGATGTACGCCCCGAGTTTTAATGTTTGCTTTTACTCGTGGAATAGGATTATGTTGTTTTGGGCGAGTTTAGGGTCAGGGTACCGAAGTTGGACGAATAATATTTAAGTAGGATAATCAGCAGACCTTTGAAAAAAGATGGATGAATTAATTCTCATTTATTAAAGTAAATGTATTTATATTATAGCTTCGCTTTATTCGTGACATATACGAAAATATCATACTACTAAATTAATTGTAATATGTACTAGCATGGGTTGAAACAAGTCGAGATCCTTGTCGAATAATTACGTGAGTAAGCCGAAAAATTTAAAATGAGGTAGAATTAGTGGTATTTATTTTAGAGCAGACCTGATGGTAAGCAATTGGCGCCGCCCCCATACTCCGGCAATCGTATATATCGTGAAATTTACCGCAAACGTTGTTTTAAGCCTGTTTTCTATGTCACTCAAGTCGAGTGACTTTTCTCTATCTATTTCCAATGAACTAACCATCTAAATATTTTTGTCTTTATCAACAGGTATTCTACAGGGTGGCGCTAGCGATCCTCATCCTATTCAACAAGCATGCTTCGAACCAGAGCTCTGACTGGTACGCTGAAGCCACGAAGAATGGCGTCGACCACGCCATTGACAAGTTCTGCAGGAATATGCCCGCATCGCCCACTAAACTACTCCGGACCGCCTTCAGCATAAGGGCGTTAAGGTATTAAAGTTATATTATAAGTCTATATAAGTGTGTTAGTAAAACTAGGTAAGAAGAAATTCAAAAGATGCTCTTTAAAATTATTATACAAAATAATCTACCCGGTCAGATGTCTGTAGTCAGATTGTCTCATCGATATAAACTCAAAAACAACTGAACTTATTATAATGTTTTCGTCAGTGATTTGTGAACTTACTGGATGACTAGTATTATCTATATATATAAAAAAGAAACCCGTTTCCCGTTGTCACCCCATAACTTGAGAATGGCTGGACCGATTTGACTGATTTTTTTGTTGTGTTTGTGAAATCTTATGGGAACGGGAGAAAACGGGATAGCGCGTACGAAGTTGCGGGCAGAAGCTAGTATTTAATAAACAGACAACAAAAAATAAAAATTCGCGGAAAATATTCACTCAAAAAATGTAATCAAAAACTTTATTCCTCATTTCAACTAATGAAGCTTTCATCAAATGAAATCTCACAAATAAAAACTTTACAAAAAACTCGTAAATTGCGAATCATACAAATATTTAACGAAAATTCTTATTTCACACAAATTGAATCTCACCAAAATGAAATATAAACACGACAAGTTATGAAAATGACATCATTATACGTACATACATACTTTATCAAGTTTTCTTACGAAGTTATTTTACACGAAATACGGTTCATTACCGTCTAGTCTACGTGTGATACGAATGCATAATTAATTCCGTCTCAATCAGCGTATGGAAATGAGATAAATCGCGAACGCTGGGCCTTTATTAGATTTTATATGGTAATGGTAATCAAGGGATTGTTTGATGTAGTCGTTTGTTAAGATTATTTAGGCTTGCTTTGTTCTCTGTTTAGTTGTATATTAGATATATTTCCTTAAATGGAGTAGGCACATGTAAATAGTGTATGGTCTAATCACTAGTTTTGTTGGTTTTATTCTCTTATTAAGCTAGACTTGTATTTTTGACCTCTTTATAATCCAGACTGTGAATGTGAATTAACTAAAAATTGCGCGTAATAAAGTACCTATATTCACGCGAATAACCCGCGATTATTAGTTAATTTAGTATGTCTCACGATAGTTATTATAAAAACGCAGACTAATGTATACCGTGATTTTTGAAAAATGTTCTCAATATTTGTCTCGATTTCCTGGTATCGATTTCAATAATCTGACGGTCGGTAGGTACACTTGTGAGTTGCCCCCTATGATTTGATCCAATGAAGCAGATTTCAATTTAATTCAGCTAAATAAGGATTTAGTATAGAATTTTATTACAGGTGAAGGCTTTAGCTATAAATCTAGATTAGGCTTTCTGTAATAAAATGTGGCTGTTCGTTTTATGTAGTAAATAATGTCAAATACGGGTACATTTTTTATTTGTGTAACGTAGGCTTTTTTATTTTGATGCTTTCTTCTTTGACGACTACCAGCGCTATAAAATTAAAATGTTTATTTTTTTGACTCACGTCGGTAACAATAAGATTATTGGACGAATCTCTTTATGCTTATTCTGATGGTAATTATTGTAGTAGCCAAAATATAATATTGTAGAAACAACGAAATTACTGAAAAACACTTCTAAATCAGTTTTTTTTGTCACAAAACATGTTCAAAATATTTACTTTACTAATGATCATCTTCCACAGTTCACAGTACATATCCCGGGTGTTCATCAAGACAGAAATGACGCTCAAGTCCAAACAAGTTATCACCGGATCCCGCCTCGTCCGCTCCAGGTCATCGGACAACCTTCCCACCAGCCAATCACAAGTCAACATTCAAATGATGTCACATACTCTTACAATCCGCGAAGTGAGTACTTTACCCTACTAAGACATATACAGTGACATTTACCCTACATTTTTTGACAGGTCTTTATAGGGAGCTTTATTTTACAATGCTTGGGAATGGTAAACGAAGTTCAATGAGGAGTTTTTATCATTTATATTGAAATATATTTAATAATATACTAATATCTTATATGATATTATTATTATTTTATGTATTCTACTTTTATACAGCCTTTTGACTATATATACAAAAAAGGCTATATTTATTTATTAATTTGTTAATTAAATTGAGAAAGGGATTGATAGTACAATTTTTTCAAAAAAATGTTTTAGATTCTAGCCACGGATAGGTATATGTTCTGCTTACGGGTAGCTTTGATGCTAACAGTCACGATGATATACTTCTAACTACACACTGCACATTCACAGATACAAAGAATATATTTTTGTATATCGGTTTATTTTACTTGGTTCGCAGAGAATGTCTGAGGAAACGTGCAAACAAATGGTATTGTACTACGGCGAATTAGGCGTGGCTTTGGCTTTTATTTATCATTAAATTCATTCGATTGCAACCCTAACACTACTAACTATCAAATCGATTTGTTTGACAGATTCGATAGTCCAGTCTAATTAAGATACATTATTTCGTTTGTCGAACCACCGTTATGTTATGTTCGGTCTGTGTAGCCAAGATCTGTGAATGACATATTGTTGTGCCCCTCGATGTTATCATAATCAAAATCGATTTTTTAACTATCATTAGTGATATTTTGAAACGAATGAACGATTATCGAACATTCATACTATCATTCGCTTTGAATGTCTGATTTATTTGTTTCTCTCATTGTTTCAGTGTCTCTCTTCTATGTAAAATATTTTCTTTTACAATTATTATTATTATTGAACATAATTATGTATTATGTCAATGTGTTTGACAGTTGGCATGTGTGTGTTCGCAACTCTCCGGAGTTGGTACAGATGTATTATAAATACGAAATGCCATAACAAGTGGACATAGCTTGAGATATTAACAAAATGTTGAGAGAATATCGATAATAGTGATGTGAAGGCATGTAATCGATTGTTTTGTGTGAGTGCTAACTGTGTGTCGATTTTCCCGTTAGGGCTCACATTCGCCGGGCCCGCGCGCCCTATCGATGGGCGTATTCCCAATCCAAGCCATAAGGTCGCAGATTCTAGACCAGAGTGAAGTAAGATACAAGTATTAAGTCACCAAATATAAGTGTCGCCCCTATTTGAGAGCTTGCGACATTATATCGATGTTTAGATGCACCGCTTATCACTAGGTGTTTTATTTATTTTATCCTTTTGAAGCGACTATAGCTTTGAAAGTATCGACTTAAAGTTAAGCTTGTTTTTAATTTTGACTGTTTACTTTGCGTGTATGGTAAGTACGTAAGTGTAAGCTAGTGTGCATGACGGCTAATGTGCGTCCGTTTGTTTTTATTTTTGTTGTACTACATGTTTATTTTGTACAGTGCCAATACAATAACTCTCTGTAATCAGGACTAATATTAAAACCAACACATTTACTATATAACGAAAATATCGATAGAAAAATCATCGATAACATTCAACCACTAGAATACAAACCAGCACACCAAACTACCCCAATTCTCAATAGACTTTCAGCTCTATTCCAACCTAATACAGTTGAATCTCAATTCACAAAATTGGTGTAGCTTGATCTGCTGTATGCTGTGACCAAATACAAAGGTATCACTCGTGGTCGGTTTTCGCAGAGCCCACGATCTGCCCATCTGGCCCTGTGGTTTCCATTCCCTAACGCAGTATTCAAGGACCAACACCATCACGCATCAGACTTGAGACAGAAGGTTTGACAGGACATTACTGCTCACACCAATATCGTAAAAAGGGAGATAGTTGTCGTGGTGGCACTTTAACTTTGTAGTTGTTATTTATTACGTTATTGTAGAATGGGGCGATGATGGAAATTGAGTCTATGTTCTGTCCATGTAGTGGGTCGGCGATGAAATATTTGACACGTATTTTTTGTCGTACTAACAATACGAATTGTTAGAAGCTTAAAAAATTAAATATCTGATCTAATCAATAATACTTAACCTTAGTGGGTTGTAGACAGATGGCAGTAGCTCCAAATAAAATGTAAATTATTACCATTGTGCTGCCTGGTCCAATTCAGTGCAGAATTTAAACAATTCAGAAAAAGCCAGAAAAAATATTATTATTCTTTTTTCGAAATAACAAAATAATTTACTTTATGAAAAACTACGAATTAATGTTCAAGAGTGGGGGCAACTACGTTATTTTTCACTATTAGTGACGTTTTTACATTGCAAATCAAGTTATCGAGTATCGACTTTAGTTCAGAAAAACGTGTCAAATTTTTTTCCTCAATCTACCAGATGGATATAAAAAAACAAATTTCAGTCATCCTCCCTATACCTAGCACTTGGTAGAACGGTTCTAAATTGGTTGGTTCCGTAGTTAACCGTTGTTTTGTTGATTTTGATTTATTGAGCTATCATTACGTTTTATTGTCCGTCAGTCAGTCTGTACGTATGTAAGCGTTCATATCCTTTCATGCATGTAGTGCCTGATAGTAGGATGAAATAGAGCTGAGGAAAATTTAGTGATATTTTTTTTTTTAGATGTTCGGTCTACTATTTATAACTATTTATTCCTATATGTTAGTAAATATTTTTTTTTTCTGAGTATGTCTTTAAATTATGTTTTGGTCACATTAAATTTTAATGTAATGCAATTGCAATTAATTTTATTTTATCATTCTCGTTAATTTTTCCTAGTTATTGTTTTAATATCCAATTCATTATATAATTTTCCTCTTACAATTACAAATTAAAGATTTTTATTATTATGTGATTATTACAAATGACTTTTATAGCATTTTAGATACAATCATTATATTTTTAATTAAAATTATTAATATTATATTTTATTACTCCTACGGAACCCCAGTTTAGTGCATGCGAATATAAATTCCACATTATCACTGTATGTAGTTGCACCTTTATTGTGCCTGACTATAGATACGTAAAATTAGGCTTTCAATAGATAAATAGTACTATTAAGGTCATCTAGAATATCCTCGTTCTTGTAGGTAACTTAGCGAATCATTAGGAGGTATTTTAGTAGTAAATAGTACCTACTGAATTAACTACAATTGACAGTTTACCCACATAAATGTACTGAGAAAAACTCTAATAGTTTCGACACACAGAGGAGCTCTCTTTCATGAGCACTAGACTGCTCGACGTCGCCGCCCACGCACGCTGCTCATGACAGAGTCCCTCTGTTTTTCTAAGGTTACTCAGACACCAATGACAAACGGTGTTGGAAAACATCGTGAGGAAACCTGGCCTTATAATTTCTAATTATAAGTTTGAAATCACCAACCCGCATTGAGCAAGCGTTGTGATTAATGCGCAAACCTTCTCCGTGTGAGAAAAGGCTTTGCTCAGCAGTTGGCATTTATAGGCTGTTGATGTATTGTAAATCGTAATTTTTAGTTAATTCAGTATGTCTCACGGTAGTTATCATAATAAATAGTACGGATTAGAATAGCTAAATTCTATTTTTTAATTCTGATTTGTAGTCTAGAATAATACTCATATTCATACATTATTTATCATTAGAGATCTTGTTATTATTTGCTATCGTCATAGACTATAGATCTTAAGCCCCTAGGGACCTTTTTTACATAGTCTATGTTCTTTTTTATTGTTGTCTGATATAGAATTCAACTTTATTATATGAATGTTAATTTTTATGAAGTCTCCTATTGCATGGATTTAGAAACCTATTTTGTCAGTATATAGGTTGATATTTTTTCTTAAATTTGTTATACATGGTGTTTAAATAAGTATGACCAGTTTAAAAAATTACCAGGTGAATTAAATGTCGTGTTATTAGTTTTTAGCATTTTAAGGTTAGTATCATTTTTAATGGTAGGAACGGATTCAGTAGAAGTGAGGTAGTGAGTATTAGTTTAATTAGAATATCTAGATGTGCCATAATCCAATAATATAGTTGTAGAAGTCATTAATTTTAGATTAATTTCTCCTAAACCTAGAATTTCAAATAGAACATTTCAAACTCTTGAATTGGCTACACTATCTCTTTCTTTCTTTCTTTTTTTATGGAACGTACGAAAGAGATAGCGGTTATGCAGCAAATAGAATTATACTTTAAAGGTTTGATATTATGGTTGGAATTTCAATAAATAAAATGTAGAAAGATTTAGGTCAAGTAGCGTCTCTGATCTTCATTGGAAATTCAACTATATAACCACATCTTTAAGATATATTTCTCTTTGTACCATAAAAATTCTTTAAAAAGATCTAAATGTTGATTTATCTTGGTAATTAATTAGCAATGTATCGTAAACATTGTAATATGCTTTCTCTCGATGTTGTGGAGTCGGCTCTTACTTGAGCTATTTGATTTTGTTGCATGAACTGTCATTTCATATGTAATTTGTACACGTCGATCATCAGTGATAGTGCAATATATATTATACTCTATTGTGAAGAGTGTAAGGATGAAATTCGCTTCCAATTTGGGTTAAGTAGACATTTTAAAATTGGTATTGTTAAAATGTTTTCTAACCAAGTGTACATGCATATAATGCAATAAGCATAATTCTTATTGTAGTTAATGATGTATAATTCTTGGTTTCCTGAAGTTAAAACTTAGGAAGAATTTAAAGAGTCTAAAATATTGCACTGTCACTAATAACAATTGTAGAACTGTATGTGTTTATATTGAAATACTCGCACTATAAGCACAAATCACTTGTACACGTTTACTAAAACTACACCACTAACTGTGACGTCATCGAGATGTTGCTAGACCAAAATATTCTGTAGTAAAAAAATATCATTATCAAATCCAGAAAGTACCTAAAAATGTGACCACTAAACATAAAAGTTGATTTAAAAAGTACATTTTCTGTCTTTAAAATTAATTGGTCACCCCAAAGCGTGTTAGACATTATCAAACGTCAACACGCAACCACCACAGATAACCTAACATTGTCAAAACAAAAAAAAAAACATTTAGACAAAATTTTTACTTAGAAAAAGCAATCATCTTTTCATAAACAATTAAAACAATATTCTAATATTATTTTAAATCGTTCCAGCTGTTCACATTATGGTCGTGGTTGCCAGTTCGCATCACTATGTACCAACCAGTGTTGCTATATACGACTGAGGAGCACGGTTGCTCGTTAACCACTTTCTACGTCAGGGTGGAACACCATGAACCAACATTGCTCATGATTAAGACATGTAATAATGAGGTAAGGGTTTAAATTAAATAATAACTATTGTATTTAACTGTTTGACGGGAATACTCGACTAGTTTCAAGCCACTCTCATATTCATAACCAACACGACGACACGGCAAACGTCGCACAGTTGCCAGACGAAAATATGCGAGGTTTTTAGTATTTGGAAATATTTTGTTTTAATTGAGGTCCTTCTCTAGAATTTTTTTCTGTATCGTAGGTGCTTTTACAGACGTACCACGCATTATGCATTATTTAAAAAGTATGTAGTCTGTCAACCTTTTATTCATGCTGGTTTATGTTTACTTGGCCAATGGTCTAATGAACGAGATAAAGTTATTCCTAATTTATAATTGCAGGTATTCGGTGCGTATTGTTCAACAAGATGGTTCGAACGCAACCAAAAGGATGAGCGCGGTAACCGACAGGCTTACTTCGGCACCGGAGAGACATTCCTCTTTAGGTAACAATTATAATTATTTTCTTTTATGTATTTTGGTTCTTCTAATATGTCCAGACATATTTTTCAAACAAGCTCGACTGCTGAGCTGAGGATTTTGCTGAGAAATTCGAAATCGTTTTTTTTTTGGAAATATAATGATGTTTATTAATTTTATGTTATATATTATTTTTTACCTTATATTTATTTTTTAAGAAAACTATTTTTTTTTCAATCGCGGTTAGACGGTTAATTTCATTTATGTGAAACTTTGGTAGAAGAATTATTTTAACAAATTATTATATTGTCCGTCACTTCTCTTATTAATTTTGCAATACTGCTCTTCGGGTAAATGCTGGTAATATAGTCATTATTTATGTATTGTATGTATGTTGTATACTTTACCTTTATTATGATAACAAGATGAACTAACCTAGATTAACACTTCTGTATTATATGTATGTTTGTATGTATTTGTATTTTAATAAAAACATAGCCACAAAGTAACAAAGCCAAAAATAATACTCAGAAAATCCAGTCAAATATCTGGTTATTCAAAATTTGAAATATAATTAATTAATTTGCATGCACTATCCTAAAATCAGTTTTGAAAATGTAATATTTGTATTATTCAATGTCCCTATTGTATGCAACTTGCCATAATAATTCCTAGTTTTAGTAGATCAATGTATTATAATGTAATGCGCTGGGTGTATCTGTATGTATCCATCTTTTAACAAAACCATAATTTATAATTCTACAAATCCTTCTAATTTTAGATCCAATGAAATTTGAAATACCACATCTCGTTTAATTCATACATTAGTTATTTTTAAACCAAGGATACACTGGGGGACAGAGGTCTTAGTACAAGTTTGTTTTACGCTTAATGTAATCGTAACGAGTACGCGTTCGGCACTCTGATTGATTGGTTCATGTGCGCCGGCCAATCTGAGTGCCAAGCACGAATAACTATCGCATTCGTAACGTAATAGTATCGAGCGCGTTCGGCGCTCTGATTGGCCGGCTCAAGTGAACCAACTAATCAGAACGCTTAACGCGCTCGATACGGTTACGATACGATTGCGATAGTTATTCGTGCTTGGCACTCAGAGCGCCGAACGCGTACTCGTTTCGAATACTTTAAACGTAAATCAAACTCGTACTAAGGCCTCTGATGTCCTGCGCCACGTGTCGCCAGCGACGTTGGGTGAAGTAATGTGACGTCACACGACTTGTGCTGGCAACATCAACGTCGCAGTGGATAAGTTGCCGTGTATGTCAGGCGACATTTGTCTCCTAGTGTATTCTTTGCTTTAACATTGTTTAACTCTTTCATTTCTTAAATGTATGTTAAGTAGATTACATTAAAACTAAACATATTAGAAATAAAGCATATTTTTGCTTGGCAACGCATAACTAATGTATAAATCCGAATGTGTTAAAAATTCACCCGAAACAAAATAGTATACCAGTATAAGAACAAAGTATACCTATATGTTTAACCCCAAGTGCACATAATAAACCTGTACAGTCATAGCATGTTGCATCAACCCGTCGTTCGCTTACAGCCTTTATCCGGAGCGCGCAAAGTACCCCTGGGTGGGTTGCACGACGGGAGCCGATGGGAAGGGCGAGGAACGGGTCGCTCATGGCTCAGAACTCTTCATGGCAGCAGACTCGAAGATGATCACCATCGGCGGAGGGTCAGTTCTTATCAAATCATATTAAAATTCCAGTTTGCATCCACTACGAGCAAAATACCCGTGGGTCGGATGTCTAGAGGACAATGTTGAGGGTCCAAGCGATCAGAAAGAGGCCAGGACGCCACACGCCAATTCTCTCTTCATGGCCGCTGATAATACCATGATTACAATCGGTGGAGGGTATGTCGAGTGAACGTGTGATCATTATTGTTAATGAGGGATATCGTTTTTGCGCTTCGTAGATGGCGCTAGTGGTGTTTAAAGTCTTCTTCATTTAATCACTGTTACTTATCAAAACTGGATTGCTTATCTTTATTTAATAGATATAAGAGACCTTATTATCCACTATCGGCAAATTCAAGCGCGATAATGCCTGTTTCCATAGTCCGGGTTCGACTCCCTGAAAAATTCCTGTTTGATGTTGCCTACAATATATGAAACTTACCTCCAAGAGTGTGTCCTGTGCCTTGAATATGTATCCTAATTGGAACGTAAGTGTACCCTCCCCAAGTTTGAATGGATGGGTGTCCGCATGTTTTTGTTATACATAGGTATTGTTTCCTATTTTCGATGTTGTGTTACTTTTTGTGATTTATGTATTTTGTTAATGTTACGCACATTTTAATCTGATTTTAATCACGAACCCCAATATTGACTTGGGTCCCATCATTTACATGCACTGTGATATACATAAATCTGTTGGAATGTGTATCTATAATATGGTTTTTGTGTTTAACAGTGACGGCCAAGCGATCTGGATGGACGAAAACATAAGGTTCGGCAAGACTGACCGCTGCTCGACCTTCAACAACCCGCCGCTGTGCCCGAGCGGGGACTTCGAGATCAGAGTCCTCGAGGTGTACGGCTTCTCGGGGGCGTAAACCCCCCACTTGAATAATCTCGATATCACCATAGTTTCATGTCCCCCGTGTGATAAATGTTGTGATCGCTTCACTCCGCTGAAGCGCTACGTACGAGTGCGTGCCGGTCGAGGTTATCAATAGATCCCCAGGGATTTCATCCGCCATTATCTCGCCAATCCTCACACACTTCTGTGGACTCGTGGCGCCAGTGCCACGCACTGGGTACCCGGTACCCACCCTCAACATATTTCAGAGGAAATCCCCCACGAAGCGATGTATTGATCACCCTTTGCCGATATAACAGACTGTGTAGATGTATTCCTAATATTTATTCTACAAGTTAATCTCGGTGTGGACCCCGTAGCTGTCCTTTTCTATTCAAAGCTGTCCGTTTAAGACAACGAAGACGGGGAATGTAGGTTGTTTAAATATTTACTCGTGTTTAGAATGTGTAAGTACAAAAATTTTGAATGTATCGTACCTACTCTTGATGGATTAAATAATACGCTTATTATGAAAGCAATATGTATCAGTGGGGCGCAGCCGTGCGGTGGGAACGTTCGGGGACTCGGGCGATGCGAACATTCCAGTGACTCGATTCATAACATCGTTCTCTCATTGCGACGACTCAGCCTAGTCGTACGACACGTACGATCTAATTCGGTCCAAGCAACAGTATTTCGGTATCGTATTGTATGTTCATTATTGCTTGTTAGGATTTATACTCGCTGAAATTTTGTCGTTGCTCACAAAAATGTACCAAAGAGTTTATCTTGTAATGAATTTATTTGTGACTCGATGCTTCGTCATAGAATCACGGCGATGTCGCACTACATACGAACGATATGGTCGCGACCGCAGACGCTCAGCTAACTTGTAGCTTGCGAACAAATATAGTATATCAGTGCTAATATCGCAAACAATTTCGCTCCTATTACGAAGACGGAAGGTTCATCTCTCACTGCCATCGTTCGCAGTCAAAATAGTATTATTTATTATGTATTTCAATGGTGATGTGCCAAAATCGGACCATATAACGAATTGGCTTTACTATGAACTCCGGGTACCAATCTGGATTAATTTCTTTTATACATAAAATTTATGTAAAAGTGATTTTACATTTATTGTATATGTTTATTAACGAAACGTAAGTGGATTAGTTTATTTTTGTTTTATCGAAAATGTGTCGAAATTATTTTAGTTAATCGGTTTGAGTTCGTCTGTCGGAACGTGGTTGTTGTGTTGAAGTTAATTGATGTGCTACTAACAGTTAGTAGTAGTGCCGTTGATATTAAGTTTGATAAGTGTTTAACTAGGGCGAGGGGATTGTTGACGGTGTTGGTTTCGACAGATGGACTTCAGACACTCGTGAAGCAATGCAGGCGACGTGTAGGTACAGTAGGGAACGATAGAAATGTGCAAACATATCCCTCACGGTACAAAGGGGTACAACGTGCGTTCGTGTCACCCGCGGCTTATTCCGCTACGGTTTATTTGTAAATATTATTTTATGCAGTCCCCTAACTACCGGACCATGCTCGACCAACGCTTTACAGTTTAATCGCCTCACGAGGCCCGGACGGATTGTTATGTAAAAATGTTCACATGTACCTGAGTAATGTGTTTATATATTATGTGAAGTTGTGAATGTCGTTAAGTATTGTAGCCCATACACAAATATTATATCGTTTGGTTAATATAGACATTCTAACTTTTTGAATATTTATAAGGTATTTGATTTAGAGGACGTTAGTTTAGTATAGAGATTTGAGCGACCCGGTGCGTGGTCTGTTCAATTTAATACGCGAAGTTGCCTCTTGAGCATAGTACAGCTCTATAGTATTTAAGAATGAAGTTAAACTCAACATAACAAGATGACATTATGGTTCCGATTAAACTGCAAGGGTGGTCCATAACTCGGCATGGTCGCTACTTAGTGGGCTGTGCGTAGCGATGGGTTTCGTCATGGTACTACATGCTATATGTTATTCAGAAGCCTAAGACTCGTTTTAAATTCAAATTATTTATGTAACTTATTATTAGGTAACATGTAACGTTTATATTGTATGTTATGAAGCGTCTCTCTGCGGCCGACGGACTCACGGTCACATGTTTTTGTTTTTATTTTATGAAGTTAAGGAGATCAAAGTGTTCGGTCTGCGCAGTCGAGGGCGGCACTAACTGTTTGTATGCGGTCCTCGCCTGCACGGCTGTGTCGATATATTTATGTTATGTACTAAGGTCGCCCGCACAGAGACGACACTCGCGATATGTTGCTGTTAGCCAATTGTCGTTCATCAGTGTAAAGTCTAGTCTTTATCCTGTTTTTATTATCTCTAACGATATAATATTATGTAAACTATATACAAATTGATATTTAAAAAAAAGTTCGTGCGTTTTTTGCTCCATTATGGAGCGCGTAGGCTCGTGGTTAGTTAGTATATAAGTACATTTAATATATGTAAATTTATTAATCTCCTTTTTCCTTTTCAGTATTGTGTCGTTTTTTTATGTGAGGAGCATATCATTGTGTGACATGAATGTGAGGCGTGGATGTAGAGAGCTTTGTTTTGTTACTATGTACTGTTACATTCGAATATTTTAGCCCGCCGCGCACGCGACGGTCTCAAACTCGTTTATGGTAATGTAAATGTTGCTTCATAATGTGTAAAAAAATATATAATCCTATATACATGTTGTTGTTTTAATTATTATTACCCGTCTGACCTGGTTACCCCTTGTTTAAGCTTGATAAAATTAATGTGTAGGTGTTTCCCTTTTATCCAAATTGAAATGATACTTTATTGACAGACATTTGAATTATAACAACTATGACTGCCTCGTTGGCCGAGTGGTTGCAAGTGCGACTGCCGGGCAAGGGGTCTCGGGTTCGATTCCCGGGTCGGGCAAGTATTACAGGGATTTTAAAAAATTCTTAGTGGTAGCACGGAGTCTGGAATTGTGCCCGGTATATGGCAATAGGCTCACCCCCTATTACATGGGACTCATAACATAAATAGTGAAAATTGGGTGTTACATTGTACAGTGGCATAATGTGCACCTCTGCCTACCCCTTCGGGGATAAAAGGCGTGATGTTATGTGTTATGTGTGTGGGTGTTACATAGTACAGTGGCATAATATGCACCTCTGCCTACCCCTTCGGAGATAAAAGGCGCGATGTTATGTAATGTTGAATTATAACTATAATCATTCTGAAGTAAATTGGGTACATTCTGTCAATAAAGATTTCAGTAATATAATAATTTATAACTAGGTTAGGTTAGGTTACCTAGTACAACTAGGTTATTCATCAGGATAGGACTAAAATCTAATGATGAAGTTTGCAGAAATGAAACAGGTTGTCAAATAAAAAAACAATTTTATTACATTATCAAGTATCAACATTAATTCCTCGGACGACTTCTATAGTTTTTGGGATTGCCATAGTTTTTTACTCTTTGAGACATTGACATGTCGGTTTCTACGGGTCCATTATCTACCCATATTTTCATTTCGTCATACAGTTCCTCTACCCTATCTATGTCTAGTTGAAAATTATCAGCTTTGATATTCCCTATATAATAACATATTATCAAGGCTAAAGGATACTTCACTTTGTCTACAAAATCTACTAATTCCTCTTTATCACTTTCTTCAAAAGATGAGCCATCCTTATCAGTATGTAAAATAGACGATGTTGCTTTCCACATATTGTAACTTGGTTTAAAATAATCCTCCGGTAACCCAATCAATTTTAATTCCATTACAATTGTGCTCGTTGACATTAGAATATCAATTAAATCTGAATCTATTTCTTTTTTAACAATAAATTTCTCTTCATAATATTTTAGTATTACATTTATAAGAGTGATGACATTTTCTTTACTACCCTCATATATTTCGCATGCATTCGTAAATTCAACAAAGTTTAGTACTATCTGGAGACTTATAATATGAACTCTTTCTAATCTGATGTTACAACATGTTTCTTTCCTATTCACTGCAATCTCAGTAAAGGCCGCAGTCAAACAGTCTAAGGCATTTGGTACGACAAAGAGTGAATAGAATTTTGTGCGAAACTTTCCAGTATTACAATATGAACACACACTATTTAAATTCTCTAAGGCTGTGTATATTAGGTCTAAGTGTGATGAATTTTTTAGAATAAAGTATAAAGCGGCAGAATAATCGACAGTATCGAACAGATTCATCCAAGTTTCGATTTCCTCGTCGTTCGCTAAAAACAAGCAACTGCTCACTAACCTTAGCAATTGAATTAATACTAGACTCTCGTCTGAGTTTATATGACACATAAGCATAGATAATAAACCTTCCATCTTCATCAAAACATTTACAACTTCCTTCTGGCAGCACATATTTCCAATGATGCCGATAATAACATCAATAATTCTTGAGGGTTCAATAACGGGTAGAGCGAAATTGATCAGTTTTAAAACTTCGTGTTTCTGCAGAAATAACACAACGTCCTTCTCGGTAGTCATGTCCCACAGTACGCAAATATCATCTATAAATGATTGTTTTTCTATTTCATCTTTTAATGTATCCAAATTAGCGAATTTAAGTAAAATTTTTAGAACAAATCGCTCGCTGTATGCTGTGTTGCCTATCACATCGCCGGCGACTTGACTCGAAGTTTCAGCATCTTCCATTTGCTCTGCATACATTTCAAACTCAAACTCAAACTCTTTATTTGCATGTTAAGGTAATACATACAGGTCTTATGAAATAACAGGCACAGCTTAACGGCCTTTTTCAGGCGTTGCAAATTTTAGGGGTGTCACCAGCTTATTATAAATTACATTTTGGTTAACATTTTTTTACATATTTATTTGTTCGGAATATAGGTAAGTACTTAAGGTATATAATATATTAGTGGGTAAGTGCAAAATGTAAGTGGGTATTCTTAAAATGTATAGTATATTGTATATACATAGAATATTTATATTTAAAATGTATAGTATGTTGGTGTGTGCTTGTGGGTGTATGTATGGGGTAGGTTTAACATTTAATTTTGGTGTTATATTTTTCTTCGAAGAATTCTTTTGTCGAGTAAAAGCATTTTTGTATTAGGAACTTTTTTAGTTTTCTTTCAAATATAATTTCTTTAGTTTCGTTTTGTAGGTCTTTAGGTAATCTATTGAATATTTTGACAGCCATGTAGTAAGGACTTTGGTTAAGCATTTTAATTCTAGATGGTGGTAGGTACAGTCTGTTTTTATGTCGGGTATTTACATTATGGGTGTCTTTTACTTTCGTGAAATTATCTCTATTTTTGAATACAAACTTGCATATGTCATAGATATATATGGATGGTAGTGTTAAAAGATTGTATTCAATAAAATAGGGCATTTTATATACAACTTATAATATTATTTACAATTTTTATTTTATTTATAGCTTAATATTTTACATTACAATAGGAATAAGATTCTAAGTAATCGCCCGTCACAGTGTCACACACATTTGACAGAACCGGTCATTGACTTTATTGCATAGGTATATATTTTTCATCTATGCTTTATTGAATGAACTAAATAGAAATAACGAACGAAGAAACTTTTCTGAAGTAAGTTACAAATATTTAAGGCGAGTGAGAGCCCTTGCGGAGGATAAGGGAGGCACTGAAGTATCACCGCGTGTGTTCCTACCTCCGTCGCATAGTAGAGGCTTAACTGGATGGTAGGTGTGTCACCTACCGGGGACATGGTGGCGTAAATCGGCGCGTCGTGACTTGCGGTGTTCCACAGGGCTTAGTATTGGGGCCTTCTCTTGTGGAACATTCGATACGACTAGGTGTTGAGAGGAGAACTTCTGTTGGGTGCAGACCTTATGTGTTACGCAGACGACACGTTAGTCACCACCTGTGGGAGTTCATATAAGGAGGCTGTTGTGATGTTAGCCACAGCAGCGGTGTCACAGGTAGTGAGCCGCATCCGGCTCCTGGGTCTGAAAGTGGCCCTCAATAAATCGGAAGCCATTACGTTCCATGGCCCTCGACGCGCTCCACCGCTGAAATCTCATCTGCTTCCCAATTTAGGGGACCCGAGCGCTGTCTGTAGGAGACTCTACGTAGGGATCGTACTATCTATGGCCATGTATGGCGCCCCGATATGGGCGGCAGACCTGACGGCCGGCAGTATTGCAGTATTGCGAAAACTGCAAAAGGCGATGGCCGTCAGAGTCATTAGGGGTTATCGCACAATTTCCTACGAGGCAGCTTGTGTATTGGCCGGATCTCCACCCTGGGACCTCAAAGCGAAAGTACTTGCGTCATTATATCTGTGGCGTAAGGAACAGGAACGGGGTGTCCGAATGGTGCAACGACAGATAAAATCGCACCGGTCGGAGCTTCGTCAGGTCTTAGTGGTGGAACGGCGGGAGACGCTTCAACGCCCTACCGCTGGACTCAACTTCATTGAAGTGGTCCGGCCAGTCACACGTGTGAGACGGGACACCGGGGTGGGTTTTACCCAATAAGGGTCTGACAGTCCCTTTTATCCTCCCCCAGGCGGATTCATGAGGATTTCCAACAGTGGGGTCAAAAAAAGAGTTACAAATATTCTAATAGTTATGTTTAATTATTATGAAATCATTATTTGTCATGCCATGTGAACTGGGTTACTGCTACAGTCACAGTGGCAGATTAATGTATTAGAGTTGAGAGTTGGGTGACTTCTAACAATCAGTATTGAGAGGCTCCGGTCTTATGCGTTTCAATTGAAAAATTACTGTAATTACTTTCAATCTAGCCAAACCACAATCACACGACCCTACCTGGGTTTGGTTGGTTCGAATGAAGTTAGGCGATGTTCCTTTTTCATGTGTCCAGGGGCCTCTCTTCCTTTCTAGCCTGCCTTCGTCAACCTTTTCCGGTATTATATAGGTAAAACAAACTGATTTGCCTAATTAATTGATATTTTGTATTTATTAATACATTATATAATAATACATGAATCAATAAATCATTGTGTTTATAACTTTAGTTTTTTTATGCCATTGTTTGGTAACAAAGTCATTACAATTCAAATGCTTGTACAGAAATAATAAACATAACACATTCTGGTGTCAAAAGATATTTAGGTAATTAAAATACAATTTTCCAGTGACATTTTCTAGCAGTAAGTAGATGTAACAATTTATTTTATGTTTATGCAAAACACTAGTATTAGTTTATTTCCTTGAAACAAGCAGCCGAATCGATTTCGATAGCATAATTTTTATATTATGTCATATTGTTACCAACGCCTTAAACATATTTTTTTATAACATAATTTACGTTTAAAAAAACCCCTTTTTTTGAAGTTAGTTTTTTTATATTTATCATGTACCTATACTAAAACTTTTCCCAAGCGTAACAAACACTTTTTTGACAACCGCATCAATATCGGTTCAGCCAATAGCGACATAATCGCTCACAAACATACATAATACATGTCAAACTGACTACGAATGCATTTTTTCTTTTTGAAGTCGATTAAAAATAGGATACCACGTATTTTTGTATGAACAACTAAGTGTCATAACAATTTTTAAGTTTTCAAGATATTTTACCTACTTAAAAATGTACCTAAACAGATTGACATAACAATGTTTTCGAGTTCCATGTTTCGCATAAACAAAAAATTATATTGAAAAGTAGGCATCAAAAAATCCACTAGTTAATTGTCTTTGTCTGTTTGGTACAACAAAGTTACTAATCTGGTTCAATAAATCGATATTAACTCGTCGAGTACCGGTTTTATAGACACAATTAAAGAACAATAGGTCGCGGTCACCGGTGACCGCTTGGTGTTTGACAGTTTAATATAGAAATTAAGGCTGGTTTTACAGTAGGTAACCTACATTATTATAAATTTCATCATAGTAAATGTTTCTGGTTATCCTGGAGGCTAAGTGCTGACAAGTATCGACACCTTGTGCACGGCTTGCCTTTGCACATCGGCGTGAGTGTAAAATAAGCTTACGTTTTTTGAGTTTTTTAAACTGCACTGAATTGGGTTAGTTAACATACCTAAGACTTATTAACCTTATCGTTATTATTAGAAATAGAAAATATTAATAGTAATAAAGACATCTCATGTGCAAGTTATTGAGTATTAAAAAAAAACCAATTACACTGTCGCTTTGGTCCAAATTACACTGTCACTGTTTAGTTTGGTTGCTGTAGGTTATTGGTGGTTAGTGTTTGAAAGTCGCGAGAGCTACAGCTGAGCACAAAGTTCTTATAAAATATTTGTAATCTAATTCTTTTATAAACTACGTTTATAAAGAACCGACGCCAATCCCCCCCACCTTCCCACCTTTTGTGAAGTCTGCTTTATACACCTTCTTCTAAGTAACAAACCCTTTTCTAAAAACCACATCAAATTCGGTTCAACTAATTGCGAAAAAATCGCGCATAATCATACGATCATATCTACAAGTCAAATTGAGAACCTCCTTTTTTGTTTTAAAGTCGGTTAAAAATCAGACTTTCACACTTAGTTTATTCCTTAAATTATTAATACTTTATGCATATTTCAAACCACCTTTCTCCATTCTTCTATTTTTTCTTGATTCTTGAAGCGTAAAAATTGTCTCTGTAATATTTTTCAAGTACTTTTTTTGTTCTTTTCCAGATAAAACATTGAATACTAATTCCGCGCCACCAACTCTTAGTTTGTTGTCCTCCATTTTCTTGATTACAACTCTGGCTTCATATGGATAACTGAGTCGAATCCATCCTTCAGCACTGCCCTTTTGATAGTCCAAGAATTCAATTGTTGCATCTGAAAAGAAATACTTTAATTGTAGTTTGATAAATTTAAAATCACATTATAATGTTACAAATGCTGTCACTAAAACATGAATTAAAATTGGTTTGAAAAATCTTTAATTATTTCTTTAAAGCAATAATAACAAAGTAGGACATTTTTTTTTTTATTTTATCTAATATTAAAGTGAACTAATCGACAGCGAGCAGCGCGTGCAGCGGCGGCACTGCAAGTTGCAGCGTGCTCGGCGCGCAAATGAAAAAATTACCTAGCTCCACCAGCGCCAGATATAGATCTTCTCTCTGCAAATATTCTGGAGCCCCAGTAAAGTGCAAAACTGTTCCATAATGAAAATCGCGCTTCCCATGTGAATACAATTTAAGATAATCCCGGCCTCCATCTGTATGTAATCTTCATAGTACTCCCTACCTTGCATCCTGCGACATTTGCACATACCTTCGCGACCACACTCTACCTAAAATTTAGGAAAAATAACAATTTATTAGACCAAACATCAATCAATGCAATCTCAGTAATTATCTATGTCCTCATTATGACTGATGATGTACTCATCAGTGATGAGAAATTATATGAAATAAAATAAATTGAATAAATAATAGGTAGGATAATGTTCAGGGGAGAATGGTTAAATAAGATTGTGCCAATCCTGAGTCATTCATTGTAAGGGTAGTAAAAAGAAAGGGCATGAACGTAACAGACAAATTAAAAGGTTTTTATCATAGAAATTAGAATTCTTATGATGCAATCTCCGTTCTATTATCCACGATTTCTAGATTTTAATATCTAGAAACAGTGAAATCATCCCTGAATACAAAATATTTTTTACCAGTCATATAAAGTAAATGTTCATTTACATAGTCGTTAACGGTTTCATCGGAGTCGTAACCATTCATCTTAGAGTTTTTATCGATTACTAAAGTATCAGGTGAACATCCGTCTCGTTTCTTTCTTCTCCGCAGAACTGGGGCAAACACGTGAGAGTCTATTTCTTCAGGTTCCAGTGGAATGTGATGGATACATATCGGATCATGGACTGTTCTAGGTTTCTTTAATTTTTTAAATTTCGCTTCTTTTGTTCTCTTAGGTTTTTGTATTTTTTCTTTTCCTTCGGTGTTTGCGCTGGAGTTATTGTTTTGGTTTTCCGGTACTTCGATTTCTCCAGGCCATTGGGTAATTTTTAAATCGTCAAAGCTTGTTATTATTTGATTTTCAGGGAATATTTCTGGCGTTTTAAGCCTCGTTTTGTACTCAATGTTATTATTATTCTCATTCTGTAATTCAGCAGAATATTCGTGGACGTTAGTTTGAAACATGTTGCTATCCCACATGCCGTACATTTTTGTACGATTACACAACCGTTACAGACTTATTGTCTTTAATTTTATTATTTTTATACCATTTCTGTTACGAATTAATACACTGTTTCCGAAAAATCAATAACAAAAACAAACACCTTCTTTTATCACTTCACTTGCTGTCAAAATGAATGAATGAAATTATTTGTACTGCCTCCTGAGCATTTACAGAGTTTGTTACAGTGATGAAGACGATTACAGGCTTGTTAAAAAGATGTTTTTTATTTTCTAAACAAAAGATGTTTTATGTACCTATATACCTCTTTTTTATATATGTATAGTCCTTTGTGTTGTATGTGTGTACATAAATAATAAATAAATAAACAACTAAATGTTTCATAACTGTATGATTTATTTTAATCTGGAATTATTTAATTATTTAGAGAATTCAATGTAAATAACTCGAAAAATATAATTTTGATGCTTACAAAATAAAAATACTAGTAATTGGCTTGCATTCTATTTTGCTGCCTAGTTAGTCGAATGGTGTGAACGGCGACTGCAGAACAAGGATTTTGGTGTTCGGGTTGGGCAAAGAAAAAAGTATTCAACCAAGTTATTTATAGTTTACACATTGCGTCGATTACGTTGCATTCCAGTAAGGAGCAAACTTAGCTTGCTTCAGTTGTACCTTGTACAGGGATAGGCTGAATGCTCTGGAACTGGCAAAAATTGGTAGTAATAGGTACTTTTTACGTGCTGCTTACTAATTCGGAAATTAAATGGCATGAATGGGCCGGCCCGACCCGAGCCAAGAGACGGCCTCACAGAACCAACGTGAAACAACAGAAAAAAACGTTGTTTCGTCGTGTAAGTAAGGTTACCGGAGGCGGCGGAGACCCAATTATCCCGCCCCCCCACCCCAATCTCTGAATCCTAACAATACTCTAAAGGCCGGTGACGCACTTGTAACGCGTCCAGGTGTCCATGGGCGACGCCGATTGGTTACCATCAGGTTCTCGTTTACCGACTGATTCCATCAAAAATAACTAAATGGGTAGACGTTTATGGGAGAAGCTGCGATTGCTTTACTATACACCGTTAAATTTGAATCGTTTTAATCCCTTGGAGGTTCGAACTGGTCCATGAAACACTATCGATTTGTAAAGATAAAATTAAAAAACAAAGTACTTTTTTTTAATAACTTGAATCAATTCTCGCATGAGTGAATAAATAATGCGAACTGTTAGTACAGTTATGTCGGTCCTAAGCCCGTAAAAGTATGAAGGAAAATTTGGAATCAATTTATTTGCAGCGGTAAGTCCCCTCTTTGAGGAGTGGCTTGAGAGACGCTACGGCGTCCTCACCTACCGCCTGACGCAGGTCCACACCGGACATGGAAGTTTCGGAAAGTACCTGCGGGGCGGGAGGAAACGCACGAGTGTGGACCGCCCTGAGGACACAGTGGAAAACACTGTAGCGGATTGCCCTGCGTGGGCTGAGTGAGCACCTCCGTGCCCTCAGGGACGTGATCGGCGATGGCGACCTCTCGCGTCCGGCCCTAGTGCGGGTCATGATGCGGAGCGAGAGGGACTGGATCCTCTTTTTGCGAAGCAGTCATGCTAGCTAAGGAGGAGACGGGACGCGTGTCCTCGCAACCCAGCCATCGCGAAGGACACACCGGGCGTCGGGGATCGCGGACGATCTCCGGCCGCCGTCGCGTTCCTCGCGCGCCTCAAAGAGCCATCAAACCACCACGGATAACCTAACGGGTTATCGGGACTCCGGCTCGAAGTGCAGAAGTAGGTACGGGATGGTTTTTAGTCAGTATGCATCGAATGACTTACTTCATACATTTTCCCTCCTTAAAAAAAACAATTCGCTCTTATTTCAGTTGTTGCATAAGGGAAAATAATAAAAATAAAAATGCAGCAAATATAATCCTTAGAAGATAAATTTTAATAGTAAATATTTATGGAACAAATCAAAAACTAGGATAACACCGTTTCGGATTGTTAACAAACATTATATTTCTTGTAATCAGGTTTATCTTATACTTAGAAGCAATTATGAAAGTCTATGGTTAGCATAGAGTCCCCTCTACGGCAGCGCCATCTATAACTAACTCTCATTTGCTTTAACTTTTCTAGGGGGGCCATCATCGTTGTCATTTCGCCTTTTCTTGCCGTGGTATTTGTTTCCACCCTTTCTGCCCTTATTGCTCTTGAAGTTTTTCATATTTTTTCGTCTCTTAGCCATTTCTTCTACTGTTTTCTGTAAATATGTTGATTCTTCTTCACCTTCGAGCACTTTGAATTCAACATCGGCTTCAGCAATCTTCATCTTATTTTCAGTCATTTTTTCAGCAACAACCTTTGCAGTGTTTTCTTTTGTAAGGCGCACCCAACCCTCTTTGTCACCAACTTTGAAGTCAATGTATGCTATGTCTGCTCCTGTAAACAATAAAATAATATTTTAAGAAATCTAGTTGTTCGTTTAATGAAATTATAGACTGCCTTATTGGCAGAGTGGCAAAGGGGCGAGTATTACAGGGACTTTTTAAAAAAGATATTATATTATAGTCAGGAATTGTGCCTGGTATGTGATGCCTAAATAGTTATATGGTACTAGGCTCATCCACTATTACATGGAACCTCATAACATAAATAGTGAAAAGTGGGTTACATTCTGCAGTGGCATTAAGTGCCGTAATGTGCCCCTCTGTCTACCCCTTCAGGAATAAAAGGCGTATTGTTATGTTTTGTGTGAAATTATAACTAATAACTCCTTTGTGTAAGCGAGTGGTCCGTGAAGGCACGCGAGGATTCTTCGACATGAAAATTAATAGACTAAGAACTGACTGCAATCATAACATAGTGATCAGAAAAAGTGGATGTTTATGAAAAAGAGTCACCTAGACTAACTAAGTATTTCCTTATGGGGTAGCATGTTATTTTACTGTTAATTTTTTTAATGAAATTTGGTCATCAACCATGACTGGGTAGCACTGCTGAAAATCAGTGCTGGGTAACCTGTATGCCTGGCTTATACTGAGTGGGTGACCCTTTTAGCATAGGCATGTTGTCAGCGTCTCTTTTCTAATTCTTTGTTTAAATTTTTCAACTCTTATATTTTTATTACTTCCACTGTCACATCTTGATTGTCTTTTTTTATTTTTTATTTATGCTGCATCGTGCCTGGTGCTAAATAAATGTTTTTTACTGCTTACCAAGAGTAGAGAGTGCTTCTTTGATGTCCTCCCGCTTCATCTGGTCTGTGCCACCACTGAAGTATAATACTGTTCCTGTTGGTAGCTTCAATTCTTCTTTTTCAACCTGTAATTGAAATATAAAACATTAATGTTGCAATGCAGTTATTTATACCTCTTTGTGCGGATGATCAGTTTTAGAATTTGTCTTTCAGTTTTTTTTAGTCTTACGGTTATTCAAGGTATATTAAAGGGCAGTAGGCACACTCTAAAGCCGGTAAAGATTTTATATGTATATTGTCTAGTTTATTCAAGACAAATTTTCGTAATTATCAAAAATGGAGTTCACATGTTGCGCATTAGCATGATCACAGATCACTCTAAATAAATATGCAGTTAATTTTATTAACAACATAACATCACGCCTTTTATCCCCGAAGGAGTAGGCAGACATGCACATTACGCCACTTAATGCCACTGTACAATGTATCACTTTCCACTATATATGAGTCCCATGTAATATGGGGTGGGCATTAACAACTTTGATAACAATTTATTTGTAAATAAATTATTATGTTTTCGGCTTACTCAGTAGCAGCGCGACAGTCGCCGCGTCGCGGGTTGCGAAATGCTGCTCATGAATATGAGCCTTTAGCATGGCTTGAAACTTGTCGAGTTCCTCGTCCAATTACTACGTGTATAAGCCGAAAACATAATAATTTATTAGTATGTCTCACGAAAGTTACAATACAAATATTTGTAAATAACTTACATTATGGTGTTCCTTATCCTTATTCTTTTTGTTATCTTTCTGTTCCTTCTTGTTGGCATATTCTTCTTGTTTCTGTGCTATGTAATCTTCTTGCCAGTGGATAAGCAGTTCTGTGCCCTGGTACTCATGAGGTTTAGACTCCATGAATTTCTCAGCCTGAAAATTTATTATAAAATGTTTAATATTGGTAAATTGCAAAATTACTAAGGCATTTACTTGAAAGATATCTTATTAGTAAATATAGGTCATAGTTACGTAAAATTAAGGTTTGCAATTCAATTGAAGTGGAGATGGTTGATTAAAGACATATTTTAGTAAAATTAAGACTAATATGACTTTTTTAACATTAACAGTTTTAAAAACTTATCATGAAGATCACTATCGGTTACTAAATAAAAATCTTAGTATACATTAAACACAAAATGTAAATAAGTACAGCATGCATATAGGATTGTTACTAAGAAAATTCTAACAGTCATAATAATAACTTTATTCTAGAAACAAAGAGTCAAACACATTCATTTTAAATAACAGTTTACTAACGTATATTACAGAGAAAAGCTCTTCCAATTTACTTTAGTTAGTTAACTCGTCGAGTACCGTATTCATAGACACAATTAAAGAACAATAGGTTGTGGTCACCGGTGACCGCTTGGTGTTTGACAGTTTAATTAAATTCATATAGAACATACCTGCTCCCTAGTCTTGAATGTAAGGAATATGGATCCCTTAAACAACCTCTTTTTAGTCGACCTTTCCTGGTATTTCCTCATGATAATATTCTCAACTTGTTCATACTGCCTGAAGTGCTTCAACAAGTCATCTAGAGTCGACTCTTTCGGGAACCCCTTAGCGTAAATAGTCCTGCTACTTAACTCCTTCCTGCGTTCCTCGTTCATCTCCGGGATTGGTACTTCAGGGCTACGTCTGACCTTCTTTTTGTCCTCAGAGACCTGTAATGTGTGGAGATGAAATATACAATTGATGATTTGACTTTAGGGACAAATTTATATGAGGAACAAATTTCGATAGTTGATAATATCATTAAAAATACATTTATTATGGATTGATTAAACCCTGTTTTGAATGGATACTTATTAAAAATCAATTAGATTGACAAGATTAATAAATTTTCCATAGTTCAAACTATTAATTGATTACTGTTTACAATAAATATTTCAAACGTCTTATTCAACAGTATTAAAAAGTTACCTCAAGTAATCCATTGGTAGACTTCAGCAAGGCTTTGGCAATGATTTCGGTATCCTTAGTCAATTTGGCAAGTCGGTTGAATCTGGTGAGGATGTCTAATGGTACCCATCCATCGTCAATCTGGACTTGTTCTCTGAGGAATTTGTCGCGAGGAAGGTTCAAATCTCCTGCAAATGTAAAAATGAATATTGTAAACATAACATCATCACGCCTGATATCCTCGAAGGGATATGCGGAGGTGCGCATTACGGCACCTAATGCCACTGTACAATGTAACGCCCAATTTTCATTAGAGTCCCATGTAATAGGGGAAACCTATTGCCATATACCAGGCTAGAGATTTTTTTTATAAACCCAGTAATACCCGGGAACTGAACTCGAGACTTCTCGAGTCCAGCAGTCGCCGCGACCATTCGGCCAATGAGGCCATCAATGAATATTGTAAAAACAATGTTAAGTATAGTATTATGTGTTTGTTTATTGTATAGCTAAGTCACAACATGAGGATTATCACTGTATTCCTGAGAAGGAATGAGTATTATATACTATACTTGAACAAGAGGGAATACAACCTTATTTTAATTTCTAATTTTAAAGTCATCTTATTTTAAGAATTGTTAAACCTAATGTGTTATGTTGTCGTGATTTGAATTTCTGACATTGTTTTTCTTTAATATATTTTCTTGTCATTTTTGTAACTTAATTTAATTTTAATTGCTGTATTATTGTATTTGCATGATAATTCCGTTTAATAATTGAAGGATCACAAGGTTACTGTAATTTGTGGTGCATAATATTTTAGCATGTAAGTGTATCTTTTGTTGGGAGTCCAAATAAATAAAACTTACACTAGCCTAGCCTAGCCTAGCAGAGCGGGTGAAACCAGTGTTTTCACCCGCTCTACTCGCTTTTAAGTGTCATTTTAGCACAGCATGTTAATAATGCTTAAAAAGTCTGAATGCAACTTTGTTAGAATATAATTACCAAATACCAGTACAACAAATTATTATATTGCATCATTAGGATATTAGCGGATAGTATAAAATGTATGCAACAAAGTAAATACAGAGAAGTTATTGTACTTCAAATAAAATAGCATACATTTCATCATCATCAACAGCCTATAAGTAGCTACTACTGACCTAAGGCCTCTTCTTACATGGAGAAGGTTTGAACATTAATCACCACACTTGCTCAAAGCGGTTTAGCGATTTCAAACAATTAAGAATTACATTTCTAATACCTTATTAATTCCATAATATGCAAGTAGGGGATTACAATAAATATGACGTGGGTATCAAGCTGCCAGCTGGTGATTAAATGTTAGGTACCTACTGATGTTTGTATGTACTTAAATATTGAGCATAAACAACACTTTACTGCCTCGTAAACAGTATTAGTAAGTACAAAACCTTGGCCAAACGCGTCTTCTTTATTTAAACCCCACGTCAGACGAAATAGCAGCACAAGTTTAGTACTCACCGAAATAATATTCAACCTGACGAATAATCGCAGTTTCCAACTCATTCTGTTCTTCAGAAGACTCTTCCTGCTTGTTATTCTCTCCATTAGACTCAGCAACTACTTCCTTAGCTTCAGTCATGTCTAAAACACCAAATTAGACAACAATGTTAGTCTAACTTAAATCTACACGCGCATCCGCATTTTACAAATGGCGCTATCGATTAACATCTTTACCTGGTTTATTACTGGAGTTTTCTACACAAATACGTTGAAACTAACAATTAAATTGTTACTATTTACGTAAAATTATAAATATAGGTGGATACCTTATGGTAACACGTGTTTTCAATCTTTACCCCACACGCGGCCGGCACGAAAACGAAATGATGGAATGGCGGGAGCGCGGGAGGAGGGGAGAGGTGCCGCAATGATGTTCGACGTTCCGTTCTGAAAGTCAGTGCTTGATATATACAAGACATTTATTTTTAATTTATCATTCAAATATGCAAGAGAAGAAGAGAACAATTATTTACCATAACAAACAATATTTATTAATATAATACAAATATATTTTAAGCTTATTCATGATTAATTATTACTTTTATTTAGCTTTTTTTACTTACAAACCAATAATTAGTCACTTCCGTACTTAAAAGTAATTTGATACAAAATAAAATTTAAATTAACATCTAAATATGCAAATTCACTAAAGTAGGGAAAATGATTTCTTAATTTCTGATTTTAAGAATTTGTTACCTATCATCGGTCAACGTCAGATCATGAAAACATACCGTCAATGTCAAAATAAACAACATAACCTCCAACTTACATCGTGTGAATATTGAGATATTGTGGAAATTATGGTTTGATTATATTTATAATCATGGGAGTCCGAGGTTTGACTACTTATATTAGCCACAAAGAGAATTCTTTCCTACAAGACTTTTTATTACATGATTGCCCTCTGGTTATAGATGGGCATAGTTTGTGTGCCCAGTTATACAGATTACTCAACTGTTTCTCTGCTTTCGGTGGGGATTATGACAAATTCGCATCATATGTACGAAACTTCTTCAAAAACCTGAAGAAATGCAACATTATACCTTATGTTTTGTTTGATGGAAGCTACGAACACAGAAAATTGAAAACTGCGCACAGCCGCTTGAGGTCTAAAATATATGGCGCTTCGAAGCTCGATCCCGTTACTCAAGGAAGCCTACAGATCTTCCCGTTACTAGTTCGTGACGTTTTCATAGAAGCTTTGATTGATATGAATGTGGCATATACAGTCTGTGAGTTTGAAGCTGATGATGAAGTAGCAGCAATGGCCAGACACCTAGAATGTCCTGTGCTAAGCTACGATTCAGACTTCTACATATACAATGTCCTATACATCCCCTTCAATACATTAGACTTCAAAGCTAAACCAATAGAAATTGATGGAACCAAACATTTTGCTTTAGAATGCAAAATCTTCAGAGTGGAATACATGCTCAAAAACTATGGGGGATTACAAGAAGAACTTTTGCCATTACTAGCAACATTGTTAGGCAATGACTATGTTGAAAAGAAAGTCTTTAGGAAGTTCTTCTCACAAATGAAACTGCCTAAGACTAAGAAAAAGACTAATGATCAACAGAAATGCATTCATAGTTTATTTCAGTGGCTGCAGAATGAGACATTAGAGACAGCCATACAAAAGATACTGGGTCGTCTGAAGAAGAGACAGAAGGGGAAAGCTCTTGCCTTAATAAAGAAGAGTATTAATGGTTACCATAGCAAGCATTGTAGATCACTCAAGTATTTTAATATCAGTGACGAAGATACTCCTGAATCAGACTGGCAACTACCTGAAAACTTTGAAGAAGAATTATGGCAGAAGATGGAGATGAAAATGAAGATGACAAAGTGAATGAAAATGAATCTTCATCAGAGGATGAAGAGGTTTCTTCTGCAAATGAAGAAGAACAAGAAATAGAGGCAAATAATGAAGGAGAGGAAATTGAAGATAATGCTCCAGATTCTGAAGATGACCAGTTAGATCTTGGTGTACCTGAATGGTTTGCAGAAGGAATTCGACAGAATCATATCCCAAAGGCTTACATAAACCTTTACACACATCACCTGCACTTCTGCTCACCACAAGCAGAAGACTATGATGAAGAAGATTCATTTCTTTGCTGTCTACCAATCCTAAGATATGCCTTTGATCTTTTAACAGATTTTTCAGAAGAATACTGCATATATGTGAGTCGGGAAAAGAACTTGAGTTACAAAAGGTTATTTATCAAAAACGATATTGGTACATCAAGACCATTTGATACACCATTCTCTGACCTAACAGAAGACCAATTGAAGACGTGTTTTGAACACTTTTTGAAAGAAAAACTGAAGGGATTTGATTATAAATTGATTGAACAGTTACCATCCAATTTCCAGTTGTTTTTTATTGCTATTCTATGGTGGGTGGCAAACTGTGAAGTTCCTTTAGGTAATATTCATAGTTTAATCATGTCTATGTAATGCTAGAAGCAATAGATGAAAAAACAGGTACTTTTAGAGGGCAATTTCAATTCAATAACAAATATTCTAAAAAAGTTGAAGAGCTAAAGAAGAATGCAACAGCCCTTGTATTTGACGAAAACGAATTATTTTTGAACAAGAACAAAGTGCAATATGAAGACTCTTTGATAGCTGCACATGTTCTGCTAAAACATTTTGAGTTGGATGATAAAATAAAGAAAAAACCAAAAAGTTATGACTCAAAAAAGATGCAGTGTTATGCCCAATTTCAGTGTTGTTTGAGCCAGATTAATAGTCTAAATACTCTCTGTAGGAGTCCTTTTGAGAGTACAAAATATTCAAAAAGTTTTAATGGCACTTTTGTTTATAATGTGGCAGTGAAATTAGAAAATCAGGTGGACCCTAAGGCGTTTTTGGAACAATACTTGAGAGGTGCTAATTCTGTGTTATTGTTTTATAAGAGCTTAAATTGTATTTTCGAAAAATGTGCGGAACAAATGGGTTTGACGACGCAAAAATGGGAGGGCAAGAAAAAGAGACGAAGGAAGAGAAAGAATACTATAGAGGACGAAATCAATTTTATTGTGAAGGGTTTTGAATCAGAGGTTATTATTTAGAATACATTTTTAAATTTTCTAATTATTCCGTTGTTTTTTTTTCAAGATATTATTACCTATTTGCATAATAAGTCACTCCCATGACTAGACCCACTGTCTTAAGGCGCGTCGCGTTCCGCGCGAGCCTCAAAGAGCCATCAGACCACCACGGATGGGGCCCAATAGGCTGATGCCGGGTTACCGGGGCCCCGGCTCGAAGTGCAAGAGTAGGAACGGGGTGTTTTTAGTCAGTAAGAGTCTGACTCTCCCTCACGCCTCACCCAGGCGGGAGCAGTAATTCGAAGATTTTCCCCCCTTTAAAAAAATAAGACGCTCTGTCTGCCCCATCAGTCTAACCAAAATCTTACCAAAAGGTATTATCACATTTTTCAGAGGATAGTGGAAGGCAGATGGCAATAATTGCTTCATGAAAAGTACCTATTCAGCCTATTGGAGACTTGTTTTTTTAAGGGGGAAAATCATCTAATGACTGCTCCCGCCTGGGTGAGGCGGGAGGGAGCGTCAGACTCTTATTGACTAAAAACCACCCCGTTCCTTCTCCTGCACGTCGTGCCGTAGCCCCGGTAACCCGTTAGGTTCTCCGCGACTCCAAATCGGCATCGGCTCTGTTGGGCCCCATCTGTGGTAGTCTGATGGTTCTTTGAGGCGCGCGCGGAACGCAACGCGCCGTACGCTCGGGTCTGGTCGGACGGGGAGCCACCCATGCTCGCACTTATCTGGCGCGGCAGCGGAGTTTCGCCCCGACGACGCGTCTCCTCGCGCATGTTATACACGCGCGCGAGCACCTTCGCCTGTTGGAGACTTGGTTAAGGCTATAAGGAAGAAGGGTGTACTTGAGTACCTACTATGAATTCCATATTCAGAGAGGTCGTTAATGAAAATAAAAGCTCATAATCTTTTCTTCACCATAATCGGGATACAAATAAAACAAACATTTCTAGCTAATTCTAAAAATAATTTAATGTACTTTCTTAGATCCATTCATATGAGATACCGCAGTCCTACTCTTCCCAGAGACGATAGAGTCTAATTTTTCGCCGAATAAATAGAAGACCATACCAAGGATCGCGCTGCCGATGAAGTATAAAGTCTTAGTGGTCCAACTGACCACATAGAGGAATGGGTAGGGCCAAATACCATATTTAAAGTACACAATATGAATATATCCTGCGTAGATAGCTGTCATGGTTATGGCTACGGTGAACCCAGTCTTTTTAGTCGGGAAATTTCTTCTCGTCACCAGCAGTTCAATGAGAATTACAGGCAAAATTGACGTGTGCATAATATGGTTAATCCATTTCGGGAACTTTAATTCAGCCTCTGGAGGGAAAATAGCCTCTTTGTTGAATACGTAGAAGGTCCAAAATACAAGGACTACGTAAAAGGCAGTGCAAAGTGTGATGCTGAAGAGGACGTCCTTAACCTGACGTATTAGGGGCGGTTTTCGTGTGACTTCGTTGGTACCGAAGAAGTCGTTCAGCAGGGAGATCACGAAGTAGACATGCTGGAGCACCTGGAATTAAGAGCAGGGTGGAATTAGTTCATGTTTTATCAATTTAAGCGTGGGATAAGTCAGTAGCCGATCTGAAAGTTGTGTATTTTGGAGATCTTGGGATGCGTTATTCTTATTATCTACATACATAGGCACCCTAGCATGTGTCTCTGAACAGGGTCAGAATAGTGCAGAAGTTCTCATCTGTTTCGAACTCGTATAGAAAGCAAAGGTTTTTTTTAATTTGTGAGTGAGTTCGCTACCAAGTCGAACTCTTTAGCGTCCCGTGAATTGATTCTGTCTGGTTGATTTATGGAAAAATACTGTAAATAACTACGTATATTGCTTTAATCCTGATACTATTAATTCATGACTTCGATAGGAAATCTCATATCCGCACAAAAGATACCTAATTTCTGATAAACGTTTCTTAAAATAAATAAGTAGGTATGTAACGTAGGTAGATATTAAATATTTATTATTATAATTTTATTATTGAATTGATAATGATAATAATGACAACCATATCTAAAGCTGCAATCATTGCACTTTGTATCCATGACTTCCTTTTTTATTTAAGTCAGAAAAGATTTCAGGTACAGGATAGATTAATCTGAGCTGCGGACAATCGAATGGGTTGCCGGGGCTCCAGATCAAAGCTGGAGTAGGAACGAGGTGGTTTTTAGTCAGTAAAAGCTTGGCACTCTCTCGCTTCACCCAAGGCAGGACAAGTATCTAATTGGTAGATTAAGATTTGTACCGAAATGAATTGAACTTACCCCGTATTGCATGGGACTCGTAACATAGCTAGTATAAGGGACTGCCTTCTCCCTTGGGACCCCCCTAAGAAGTAGAGAGCCCTTCACCCTTGAGGGATTAATAGGCGCGACGTTATGTCGTTGGTAGCGTAATAACTTGAAGACGAAGGTTCTACTCATATTGATTTGAATATTTTTATAGGTAAAGAAATTCTTATATTTGTGGAAAATAAGGAAGAAATAAAGATTATCTTTATTCAGAATAGAAAGAATAATTATGTAAATTAAATATGTTTAGTAAAACCTTTCATTTAAGTACTAAAATATATTTAATTCTTTAAAATAAATACAAAATACTTGTTAGCGGTATGTTAACACAATCCTTTCGTTCAATTCTTGTGTTGTTTGTTTTAAAAAATATATTAAAGGTCCGAAAAATGCACGCAATAATAGATGGGTGACTTGTCATAATATCACATCTTATTAAGATACGATTAATAATAAAACTACATTAGGTACTTATACTATTAACCAATAAAAAAAACTGTACTTACAAGAGTCCAAAACGTGAAGAATAGAACTCGGGCCTTTAGTGGGATGAACTCAAATTCTTTAGACGGATATTCGATGTCTATATATTTTTGGTCGTACCAAAATGCGTAAGAATATACGCTGATCACAGCTAAATGGAATAAAACTATCATTTTGAAAAATTAATTAAAAATTATTAACTACTTATTGCAACACTCTGTCAAACGTCTGTTTCTATCGACGTCTCTCGCAACACTGTCACGATTTGAAAATCGAACGCTGTTTATTTATTAATCGTCCAGCTTTGAATCTTATCGGTATAATATTGGTGCGATAATAATTTTAAAATACATTGACTTCTTTTACTTGATAACGATTTCATACTTCAGTGTTGAAGTAGCAATGTTTGCTGTGCATCTACCAATGTTGTTGGTTGTGAATGTCATAATATTGGGCTGTAAAAATCTAGATGTTATTTTGTCTGGTTTGTGTAATGAATCAATTTAGGTACCTACATAGTTTAAGTGCACGTGTACCGTACTGAGATGTTTAGAAGTCGGTGACTGATTGTTATGTTGACTTTTTTATGTATCACAACTTAATTATAAGACAAGTATTCTTACTGTGCCTCTGCCTCATTGGCCGAGTGGTCACAAGTGCGACTACTGGGCAAGGGATCTCGGGTTCGTTCCCGGGTCGGGCAAAATATTACTGGGTTTTTAAAAAAAATGTCTGTAGTAGCACGGAAGTCTGGAAATGTGCCCGGTATATGGCAATAGGCTCACCCCCTATTACATGGGACTCATAACATAAATAGTGAAAAGTGGGTGTTACTTCTTCGGTGATAAAAGGCGTGATGTTATGTTATGTATGTTATTCTTACTGTCTGCTTCATTGGTCAGGTAGCTAACAGTGTGATTGCTAAGCAAGATGTCTGGTGGTTGATTACTGTGTCGGGCAAAGTTCCCATTATGTAGGTAATTCTTGCAGT